CTCTTTTTTAGTATATTTTTTTAAACAGGAAAAATAATGACCGAAAATTTTTATTCATATTTCATCAAAATGTAATTTGCATCTTTAGGTATTATATTTATATAATTTCCAGAAAACACGATTTCAAAAAAAAAAAAAAAAATACCGAGCAAAGCTCGGTCATCCAGGTACTGATTTTTTATATGACTTAAGTGTCGTGGTTAGGGCAGAACAACGTCTGCCTGGCCAGCTAGTATAATATATTAATAACATGGTCTAATGACATGGAACGAGTAGTGATTCGCCGAGTACTTGGCCTAGATTGGGCTGAGTACTCGGCCGAATACTGGGCTTTAAAAAAAAGCGGTAGTGGGCGGCGCGCGGTTATTTACCTTTACACAGAGTTAGGGATGAAACGATACGAGTAAATACAAGTACTTACTTGATACTTTTCTTTCGATACCAAGTACTTTCGTATCGACACTTTAAAATTGAGTACCAAGTAATATCGAAAGAAAAGTAATTGTATCGGTACTCGATCATTCACACCACAGAACCCTTAGGAGGTATTAGTACCCTTAGGAGTCATACATCCACGCACGCTGTTGATGCGTGATTACTGATTACTTGCCAAATAACTCATATTCGAGCGATTGTTTTCATTATCTGGCGCGAAAATGACCGCTTATAATTAAAAATCGTTTTATCGGAAAATATCTAGAAAAATAATTGATATTAGGAAACATATAAAAAATTAATTTAAAACATGCTTCTGAAGTATCAACACCCGCCTGTACAGTTTACAGTGAGTGGCTTTTTCTTAGAGGAGGGTTTAGTATATAAAGCAAAAAAGAGCAAACTATAGTACGTGTCAAATCGATTGAGAAAAACGGACAATGACCTCAGATATGAGCCGAGTGTCAAAAATCTTTTGAATAAGCACGTACTTATGCAGTGTCGTTATCACTCGAATCTTTATATATGTTATAAACTAATGCTTTTTGTTGTTTAATTAATAAAGCACTTTATAACAATAGATGATTTTTCTTCTTCAGCGATCTTTTACATAACTTTTTAATAATAGTTAATAAATATGTATTATATCAATCGTTATAAATAAAGAATGTACTACATATAATATGTGCTTATATATTAAAGGTTTGTAAACGTTGTAAAACTCCAGGTTAAACGAAAGGTCATTTTCCGTTTTACTCAATCGATTTGGCATATACTACAAAAAAAAAAACTAGTGTTTTTGCAACACACTCCTAAGAAGTGATTCCTCAATTTAAATATGTATTAGTAATAATAATTTCTATTATGGATTCTTATGTACGTTCTCAATATTTCTGCTGTTTATCATGTTTCAGATGTTTTAATTTGTCTAATATAATAATAATGATAAAAGCTTCCTTTTTGTCTTTATTTTTCTCTGAAATATAATTAAGGCCGAGTATTCGGTATATCGGCGGCAGCATTTTCATGATTATAACATTTGGGATTAATATAAGGTCGGGGAAAAGTTTCTTCGCATTTTATATACAAATTCAAGACATTTTTGTTTTTCAGTTTAATTCAATTAAAACACGAAGAAACTGTCCCCGACCTATTATGATTATACCACAAGAAACACAGCAGTATTAAGCTGCTATCTCACGTTGGCATTCTGTGAGACCGTGGTCCTTCCCGGTTGAGCACAATTATTATACTATACAACTATAATATAGCTGCAGCACAGAATACACAATAGTACTAATTATATATATATATATATATATATATATATATATATATATATATATATATATATATATATAAGGTAGCTGCAGGGTGACCAAAAAATAAATAAAACACGGATAAAATTAAAAATGTTTTATTGGTGAGTAAAAGCGCGTTCGCGGCACAGATGACTAGCGGTTTCCAAATATATATCACATGATTTCTTCTCAAATTTATACACATTCATTAAACCAATTATTTTTATACATAAATAACATATAATATGCGCAATATATACACCAGTTGGTTCTCACTAATAGACATTTTAATTTATGATTTAAATAAAACACATAAGGTACAATTTAACGTGGACTGCAACACTGAAGTGGCAGCGATTTCGTGGTATTCAAAAAGTATTGTGCGAATGTTAGACTACACTATCTTATATACTTTTTAAATACCTACAATAATATTTACATTCTTGTATACAGAACCGTTGACTAGAAACCGTGTCTGGAGTTAATTAATAAATCCAATAATGTTTTTTACATGAGGAACATGGTCGATTAAGGCTCGTGAGACAAAACGAATGGAATGGACTGTTTCTATCTTTGGTAACTCGCCTATATTAAATACCTTATTTCATATTTGGACGCACCGAGACCAGCGGGGTTAGTCAAGTTTAGTTTCTACAATCGTTGACTCTAGATTACAGTAGACTCTAATAGAAAACGACAAAAATAAGTGGAAACAACATATGTAAGTGATAAAGTCGTGACTGTATCACGTGAATTAACGTTTATTATATATATATACAGAGGTTTCTATTAGCGCTAAAAATTGTAGTTACCTTGGCTAACCTCACACAGCGTCTTTTATATACTAGCATGGGCATAGTTAGGGTGTTCTATAGAGATCATTTTCACTAGAGATGCTCAATTTCTATATGATATCTTTAAGGGCACTTTAATCACATAATATGGAATATATTGTGAAAGAAAGCTACTAAATAACTTTTATATTATAAAATAAAAATATATATAATCTACAAAAACCAAAAGCAAAAGATATATTTGGCATAAAACAGGTATGTAAAATACAGATATGGCAAATATATAGTAACTTTGGTAGTTCATGAAATCGGTTTAAAATACCGGAATACGTAATCTTATTTTTGGTATCTAACAGTGGAATTTGTTTTCTAACCCTATCGACACCCACGCACTGCGTTGTAATTTTTCGAACGCGATCCACATAATTTACATTCAATGGTTTTTACGTCTACAACTATAACAAACTATCTAATATCACTTGCTTCAACATACAAAGCGATCGAAGCCCAAATAAAATTTACTAAAAACAACAATGGTAAAAAAAATCATAAAAAAGAAACGACAACCTAAACTGACTAAAACAAAAATTAGGATTCAAAACATTTCCACGCATTTCATAAGACAATTGAGAGAGTAACCTACTCCGTTACTATCTATTCAGAATCCAAGCACTTTTACAAGCGTCGACGTGGATAAATTCCATAAATTTATTAAAAAATGTTTAACATTAGTCACTGATTATATAAAATGCTAATCTGTTTCTTTCAAATTTACAAATTGTATCCGTTCCTTAAATTGAATACCTACCTATAATCCTGTTTGATCTAAAACTATTTTTTTTAATTTATTGTGGCAATGGCTACAAGACATTTAGCCAACTATTAAAACAGTTTAAGGTACGGCAAAGTAAGATTGACTGACGGACCGAGTGATTAATAGGGCATTAATTGTGTCCAGACTGTTTAAAAAATGCCCAATATGAGTAGGCAATATAATGAAAACTATTGAAATAATGAAATAGAACAGATTTTATAAATAAAGTCCGTTACTAATTGGGCATATTAAAAAAGATAAGTTGGGTTAGGTTACGGCCAGACGAAGTGATAAAAAGTTTGAATCAGTATTAAATACATGGCCCGATTTGACTTGTCATTATTCACATTGCCCGGAAATTAAATAGTACACTGCATAAACACTTGGTCCGTAACATTGATATCGATAACGTAGAAAATAATAAACTGGAATTATCGATATCGACATTACCAGAACACACATTTTAAAATATGCTCGAATAAAATAAAATCTAAATATAAATAGAAACGATATTGCTCTCGCAAATAATAAGAATTGGAATAATTGAGATCATTAACACCGTCCTTCGGCGACTCACCGGGATTTGTGACCACTCTGTTCCGTAAATAATACATTTTATATCTATATGGACTATTTACACGATCGGTCTCGGTCCACACAACGCGAACAGATGCTAACAAGCTTATAGAATTGTAACACCGTAGATTGAGACAACGTGGCCCTTCTATATTACAGTTCAGTGTTTTTTTTTCTATTATTTTTTATTAATAAATTAAGTATTGTTACTATGTATAACGCCGGAACGGATTCGAAGCTCATTGTCCAGAGCTACGGTGTCATAAGTAGGGACCATATGCATATGCTATTAGAGACAATATTATTAAAAAATAATTCGTAGACTCTTTATTAGAATTGCTTAAACGTTCTCCTAGTCTGAAACATCGAACAGAGGTAGTATCAATATATATTAATTTTTTTCAAATTTTATTTATAACATCTTAGTTTTAAATAATATCTACTATTATAACGTCATTGATACTATCATTGTTCAGTTTTATGACATATATATATATATATATATATATATATATATATATATATATATATATATATATATAAAATCATTTTATTTTTATACTAATCTAAAGTAGCTCACCTCTAACAGCATTATAATATGGGACCGATCTATTTGAATATAGCTTCAGACTGTCCAGCAGCGGTATATGAAGCGTTGGTAAGCATTTCACTCTGATGCCAGATTTCGTTTATCCAGAAACGTTTCGTTCTCCGTAACGATCCGTTTTATTACATACGAGGTGCTTGTAAAAACAGTTTATATCACAAGTACAGTTTTGTTTTAAAAATGGGGTTTTCACACACTTAAAAAACTGCAAAACGGCTCGAAGAAGAAAACGAAGCGTTTTTAAATATAGAAACGCGGCATTAATATCAGTTTGTACAAAATATCCAGTAACAAGGCGGGCGAGCACGTAGTGTGAGGACCTCGGTGGTGACGACTCGCGGCACGCAATGTCAAACGTATTGCGTGCGGAGTCGCTTTCGGGCAAGATTTCGTATTTAAGGGGGGGGGGGTTGAATTGCGGTTACCGACTTTATCGTTTCGATCAAAGATTTTAACATAATATAAAATCCTATTCACGATTTAGTGTGCTTCAGGAACTCGTTTGATTGGTAGCTGATGACTGGCGAACCCAACTTATCTGCAAAAAAAAGGTTATTATGTTGCAGTGATCAGTAATGGATTTGGCAGGGGGTTGAGTAGACACACATAATACCACCGTAAAATAGCAGCTTAATGCTGCTTTGATTCGTATGGTGAGTGTAGAGAACCAGTAGACCCTTTTTATTGGAAACGAGGCATTCCATCTCATCCTTCAGGGCTGGCAATGCATCTGCATTTTGATTCTTAATTGAAGATAAATATAGATCTTATAACAGATCTTATAATAATAATCTATGGGGCACAGCATTCACTTACCATCAGGTGGACTGTGCGCATGTTTGTCACCCTTATTCTATAAAAAAATATAGATTGATAAACCAACAATCGATGATGAAGAAAGTTTCGTGAGGGGCACCTCCTGCCGGTGATCGAAGTATAGGGTGACCCTAGACTGGATGGAGTGACGACATGGTAAGAGATGCAGGTAGTCGATGGATGCAGGGGCGTACTTTGTGTTCCTTGCGGGAAGTATATGTTTACCAGTAGTTTGTGGAATTGTGAGGAGCTGTCATTCATTAATTTATTACAGTTTATTAAATTCCAGTGCCAAATAGTGGTGAAGGGTTTGAATGTAGCATATGCGCTACCTATAGTTTCCACGTTAAATAGGTGGGTTGGCCACCGCAGTTTTTTAACATTTTGACTTAGAAACTGCCGTCCATGTTCTGTTTTAGTTTCTCTCTGACGCCTTACACCGACAGTAAGCCATGCAGTGGCGAAGTAACAGACAAAGTGAAACTTAAGTAGAAGATGTAGGCCACAGCATCTTCCTGATGACAAATCAAAATAATAAATAACCCCGGTAGCCGACCCACCAGTCAAACGCGGCAACTACGTCAAATATCCTACATTCAGACTTACCAGTATACTCAGCAGTGGAATTTGAGAAGTTAAAATAAACGAATAGACTACAGACCTTCACAATTTCACAAACCCGCTGTTGAACACGGCCCTCCCTCTCCCAAGGAATACTACAAAGCGCGGCCCTGACCTACCTGAATCCATCGACTGCCTGCGTCTCTTATCTAGTGCTGGAACGCCCTACACTTCACTTCGAGCTACCTATATAACCATCCATCTTTCTTATTCGTATGATTAATCTGAATTATTAGTGTAAAAATCTTGTCAAAATACTATCTTTTAATTTTTCTATTTATTAAATCATTCTCTTATATGCCTAGCTGCCGGAATACTGGCTGGACAAAATTAAGAACGAAAACATTTTGTTCTTTTTTAATTAATTTGAAAATGGAATGCGTTGTTCCTCAATTCTAATTTGATTGCATTTTCCCGGTATTTTTGTTAGGATATAAATTCACTGCAATTTATTTTTGATAAAAATGGGAAAAAAAATCTTGCGACAAGTGCTAGAGAAAGAAATAAAGCTACGTGGTCGTAACTGTACGTATAAAAATTGCGGATCACTTGCATTGCTCAAAAGTGATGATGTACTCGTACTAGGCTGTGAAGCATTTTAATACACATCAGACTACTTCGAATGTCCCCCGCAAACTTAAAGCAAGAAAACATCTCCACGAGAGGATTTAAGAATAGTTCACCTTGCCAAGCAGGTCCTGTTAAAAGGCTCATCGTACAATTCGAAAACGGCTAGTGGAGGCACAGTTGTTTGGTCCAGTAATGAGGTAGGGTTTGCAAAGAAGTATTTTTATTTTTATTTATACTTTCATGCACAAAGTAGTACATATTATGTCAGTCCCAGTCAACCATTAGGCTAAACAGAGATAGACATTTTGGAGGCTGTGCAGCAATAATCAAATAGAAAGGATAAAAATATAGAGCTATATATACAAAAACAAAAAAAAATATATATATATAAAACATATACATGGGTGTCCCATAATTATCGAATCAAACTGCCATGGGAGATAGCTTGACCTCTGACCTATCCCTAAAAAATATAACGCACATGGCCATCGATTTTTATTTATTTATTTGTTTTATTGAAATTGTATGGAATTTTCTTAAGTTTACGCCTATACTTATTGTGTTTTGAGTTTATTTGCACCTTTTTCTTACTAATAGTAATTGTTAGTGATTGTGTGGTCTGACTATAAATAAACTTTTTAAAATAATGACTAGACTTGGAGTTCAGAGCACTTTATTTTAAATTTTTTTTCTGCACTAATAATGTTTATGCTACTTTGACTTGTGGTTTGATTGTGGTTTAGAAAAACTTGCCCACTTAATGAAGATTCTAAAATGGTACCCATCATCAAATTCGCTCAAGGATGTTCGGAGATATTGTAATTATTGTAGGACAAGGGCAAGTATAGTTTTTTTTATTATTTTGTTTTGGTAATACAACATGAATTATTATCCGTTTTGCTATATATATACACATCACAATATTGATTCAACGTCCTTTCATTTCGCATTATTGTAGCGTCCACCACTTGTAGGCAATTTTTATACACTATGACAGCGAATATTGGTCCATTAAACAATTTCAAAGATAGTGTTTAACTCATTTTTTGAAAATTTACCACCACCACTTACCACTGCTGCGCGTGCAGTGCGTGTGCTCGCTTGCGGCGCGGGCCCGCGATGTACCGCGCGCAGGTCTAATGTACAGACGTGGGCAGGTATATGTGTAGTGTGCGCGATGTTCACGTACCACTGTTGGGTGCGCGTGCAGTGCACGTGCTCGCTTGCGGCGCGGGCCCGCGATGTACCGCGCGCAGGTCTAATGTAAAGACGTGGGCAGGTATATGTGTAGTGTGCGCGATGTTCACGTACCACTGTTGGGTGCGCGTGCAGTGCACGTGCTCGCTTGCGGCGCGGGCCCGCGATGTACCGCGCGCAGGTCTAATGTAAAGACGTGGGCAGGTACATGTGTAGTGTGCGCGATGTTCACGTACCACTGTTGGGTGCGCGTGCAGTGCACGTGCTCGCTTGCGGCGCGGGCCCGCGATGTACCGCGCGCAGGTCTAATGTACACACGTGGGCAGGTATATGTGTAGTGTGCGCGATGTTCACGTACCACTGTTGGGTGCGCGTGCAGTGCACGTGCTCGCTTGCGGCGCGGGCCCGCGATGTACCGCGCGCAGGTCTAATGTAAAGACGTGGGCAGGTATATGTGTAGTGTGCGCGATGTTCACGTACCACTGTTGGGTGCGCGTGCAGTGCACGTGCTCGCTTGCGGCGCGGGCCCGCGATGTACCGCGCGCAGGTCTAATGTACAGACGTGGGCAGGTATATGTGTAGTGTGCGCGATGTTCACGTACCACTGTTGGGTGCGCGTGCAGTGCACGTGCTCGCTTGCGGCGCGGGCCCGCGATGTACCGCGCGCAGGTCTAATGTAAAGACGTGGGCAGGTACATGTGTAGTGTGCGCGATGTTCACGTACCACTGTTGGGTGCGCGTGCAGTGCACGTGCTCGCTTGCGGCGCGGGCCCGCGATGTACCGCGCGCAGGTCTAATGTACAGACGTGGGCAGGTATATGTGTAGTGTGCGCGATGTTCACGTACCACTGTTGGGTGCGCGTGCAGTGCACGTGCTCGCTTGCGGCGCGGGCCCGCGATGTACCGCGCGCAGGTCTAATGTAAAGACGTGGGCAGGTATATGTGTAGTGTGCGCGATGTTCACGTACCACTGTTGGGTGCGCGTGCAGTGCACGTGCTCGCTTGCGGCGCGGGCCCGCGATGTACCGCGCGCAGGTCTAATGTACAGACATGGGCAGGTATATGTGTAGTGTGCGCGATGTTCACGTACCACTGTTGGGTGCGCGTGCAGTGCACGTGCTCGCTTGCGGCGCGTGCCCGCGATGTACCGCGCGCAGGTCTAATGTACAGACGTGGGCAGGTATATGTGTAGTGTGCGCGATGTTCACGTACCACTGTTGGGTGCGCGTGCAGTGCACGTGCTCGCTTGCGGCGCGGGCCCGCGATGTACCGCGCGCAGGTCTAATGTACAGACGTGGACAGGTATATGTGTAGTGTGCGCGATGTTCACGTACCACTGTTGGGTGCGCGTGCAGTGCACGTGCTCGCTTGCGGCGCGTGCCCGCGATGTACCGCGCGCAGGTCTAATGTACAGACGTGGGCAGGTATATGTGTAGTGTGCGCGATGTTCACGTACCACTGTTGGGTGCGCGTGCAGTGCACGTGCTCGCTTGCGGCGCGGGCCCGCGATGTACCGCGCGCAGGTCTAATGTACAGACGTGGACAGGTATATGTGTAGTGTGCGCGATGTTCACGTACCACTGTTGGGTGCGCGTGCAGTGCGTGTGCTCGCTTGCGGCGCAGGCCCGCGATGTACCGCGCGCAGGTCTAATGTACAGACGTGGGCAGGTATATGTGTAGTGTGCGCGATGTTCACGTACCACTGTTGGGTGCGCGTGCAGTGCACGTGCTCGCTTGCGGCGCGTGCCCGCGATGTACCGCGCGCAGGTCTAATGTACAGACGTGGGCAGGTATATGTGTAGTGTGCGCGATGTTCACGTACCACTGTTGGGTGCGCGTGCAGTGCACGTGCTCGCTTGCGGCGCGGGCCCGCGATGTACCGCGCGCAGGTCTAATGTACAGACGTGGGCAGGTATATGTGTAGTGTGCGCAATGTTCACGTACCACTGTTGGGTGCGCGTGCAGTGCACGTGCTCGCTTGCGGCGCGGGCCCGCGATGTACTGCGCGCAGGTCTAATGTACAGACGTGGGCAGGTATATGTGTAGTGTGCGCGATGTTCACGTACCACTGTTGGGTGCGCGTGCAGTGCGTGTTCTCGCTTGCGGCGCGGGCCCGCGATGTACCGCGCGCAGGTCTAATGTAAAGACGTGGGCAGGTACATGTGTAGTGTGCGCGATGTTCACGTACCACTGTTGGGTGCGCGTGCAGTGCACGTGCTCGCTTGCGGCGCGGGCCCGCGATGTACCGCGCGCAGGTCTAATGTAAAGACGTGGGCAGGTATATGTGTAGTGTGCGCGATGTTCACGTACCACTGTTGGGTGCGCGTGCAGTGCACGTGCTCGCTTGCGGCGCGGGCCCGCGATGTACCGCGCGCAGGTCTAATGTAAAGACGTGGGCAGGTATATGTGTAGTGTGCGCGATGTTCACGTACCACTGTTGGGTGCGCGTGCAGTGCACGTGCTCGCTTGCGGCGCGGACCCGCGATGTACCGCGCGCAGGTCTAATGTAAACACGTGGGCAGGTATATGTGTAGTGTGCGCGATGTTCACGTACCACTGTTGGGTGCGCGTGCAGTGCGCGTGCTCGCTTGCGGCGCGGGCCCGCGATGTACCGCGCGCAGGTCTAATGTAAAGACGTGGGCAGGTATATGTGTAGTGTGCGCGATGTTCACGTACCACCGTTGGGTGCGCGTGCAGTGCGTGTGCTCGCTTGCGGCGCGGGCCCGCGATGTACCGCGCGCAGGTCTAATGTACAGACGTGGGCAGGTATATGTGTAGTGTGCGCGATGTTCACGTACCACTGTTGGGTGCGCGTGCAGTGCGTGTGCTCGCTTGCGGCGCGGGCCCGCGATGTACCGCGCGCAGGTCTAATGTACAGACGTGGGCAGGTATATGTGTAGTGTGCGCGATGTTCACGTACAACTGTTGGGTGCGCGTGCAGTGCACGTGCTCGCTTGCGGCGCGGGCCCGCCATGTACCGCGCGCAGGTCTAATGTACAGACGTGGGCAGGTATATGTGTAGTGTGCGCGATGTTCACGTACCACTGTTGAGTGCGCGTGCAGTGCGTGTGCTCGCTTGCGGCGCGGGCCCGCGATGTACCGCGCGCAGGTCTAATGTACAGACGTGGGCAGGTATATGTGTAGTGTGCGCGATGTTCACGTACCACTGCTGCGCGTGCAGTGCGTGTGCTCGCTTGCGGCGCGGGCCCGCGATGTACCGCGCGCAGGTCTAATGTACAGACGTGGGCAGGTATATGTGTAGTGTGCGCGATGTTCACGTACCACTGCTGGGTTCGCGTGCAGTGCGTGTGCTCGCTTGCGGCGCGGGCCCGCGATGTACCGCGCGCAGGTCTAATCTACAGACGTGGGCAGGTATATGTGTAGTGTGCGCGATGTTCACGTACCACTGTTGGGTGCGCGTGCAGTGCGTGTGCTCGCTTGCGGCGCGGGCCCGCGATGTACCGCGCGCAGGTCTAATGTACAGACGTGGGCAGGTATATGTGTAGTGTGCGCGATGTTCACGTACCACTGCTGCGCGTGCAGTGCGTGTGCTCGCTTGCTGCGCGGGCCCGCGATGTACCGCGCGCAGGTCTAATGTACAGACGTGGGCAGGTATATGTGTAGTGTGTGCGATGTTCACGTACCACTGCTGGGTGCGCGTGCAGTCCACGTGCTCGCTTGCGGCGCGGGCCCGCGATGTACCGCGCGCAAGTCTAGCGCACACCGGCGGTGCCGAGGCGCGTGTGCGCGGTGGCGGGGCGGGCTCGAGCGGTGCGCCGCACTTCCTCTTTCTTGACCGGTTCTACCACTGGCACCTGCAAAACCACAATCTTTATTAAGAGTTAATTTTTATTTTCGATGTTTCGAGAGCATTGTAGTGGACATAGAACGTTTCTAAATATCACCATACTTTCAACATTTACAAGAACTGTTTTATTATGCTATGAACATTTCTGTATCTTTATATACATATATAAAGATAAATAGCTGTCCGTTAGTTTCGCAAAAACGCGAAAATGACTGAATCGATTTTGATGATTTATTTTATTAGAGTGAGTCCTTAGATGGTTTAAAAACTCAATTGGACCCGGTAGGTGGCGCTGTTATCGAGATCCAAAAATCACCCGAGCGAAGCCGGGGCGGATCGCTAGTACGAAATAAAAAATAAGTTTAGTGTCGAAGAGATACAATTGTGTTGCACGTGAATGTAGCGGGTGTAAAAATAACGAACGAGAATATCGTATTTGTAATATTTATAAGTGGAAGTATATAAGAGTTACGGACGGGAAATATTACAAAATGAGCAAAAGCATTGCAGAGTATAGCGGGTAAGTACGTTGCAGATTTAACTGCGGGTGAATGTTTGTTTCCGGGAGTGTCGCGGGTGTGAGTTTTGATAGCGAGAATGTCGCTGTTGCGAGTGTTAAGAGCGGGAATGTCGCACGTGCGAGGGTTACCGGTGGGAAACGGCTTGATTACGGGTGTTAAGAGCGGGAATGTTGCGGTTAGGTACAAGTGTTGCCGGTGTCAGTGTTGCCGATGTCAGTGTTGCCGGTGTTAGTGTTATCGATGTCATTGTTGCTGGTCAGTGCTTCAGATGTGCGCACCTGCGGGCGGGGCGGGTGGGGCGGTCGCGGCGGCGGCGGCGTGTAGTGGCGTGCGGTGGCGGGCAGCGGCAGCGGCTGCAAGTCCAGCAGGTTCTCCGCGCGGCGCCGAGCGGGCGCGGCACCCAGCGCCAGCGTACACATGGGCCTCCGCGCACCGCTCGCTAGCGGACGCTCCGTGAGAGGCTCCACACCACTGTAAAATCAACATGACGTTTTAACATCATCATCGTCATCATCCACCAAGAAATCCTTCCTACTTCCGTCGATATCCTACATCTCTTACCAAATCGACACTCCATCTCAGTTGGTGTCCCATTAGTGGGGTGCACTTACATTTCGCTTACCGATGCAAGAGTAACATTCGGGAGATTTTCTTCTCCATCGGTCGACGATTTTTTAAGCTACATAACCGAAATATTATCACTTCAACTTCCTGATCTGTTATGATTGATTTTACTACAGATATCTTAATTTCAAATTTCATCTTGCTCAGTTGCGCTAAGCATAGCTGAGCTTCTTAAAGCTTTCTCGTTCGGACATTTTAAAGGTATCAATTAACTTAAAGTTTTTTTTAGTTATAAATATTACATTTACATCAATAAAAGCTTACAGTTAAAAAGGGGGATCAATATCAACAGACGCGTTAGCGATCGTGAATTCGTCTGATAGCGTGGATCACTATAAATCGTATGGTGATTGAAGAAAACTGGCGACCTGTTATACTGGTAACTAGGCATTTCATCTTAGTCCTCAGGGGTGGCAATGAAATTGCATTTCGATTTTTAATGGAGAATAAATGCCTTATACCACAGATTAAAGACCTTACAGTTGTGAAACGTCTTTGATGTCAGGCGATGCTGCCACCCGCGTAGGTTGTATTAAAACAAAAACAAAATAGTGAAATATAAGCTTGGCCGTCATTTGAATTCAATATTACTAAGTAACTCTTAGTAACTCATCTAACTGTTTCACTAAATAATGTACATATTTGTTTATTACGCTCCTATTCCTTGTAACCTTGGTCCTTGTATGCATTTAGTGTAGGGATGATCGATATTACAGAAACATCGATGATGACATCGATGTTGATATCGATAGCTCAACATCGATGTTCGATGTTTATCCTACTCAAAACATCGATGTTGGCCATTATCGACGTTATAGCACATGTACCTATTTAGTAGGTTAAAATTAGATGTATAAAAAATTTGTAGTGTTGTTTATGGCTTATTATTTATGAAATTAAAGAAATTAATAACACATTCAGTGTGAAACAGTAATTTAAAAAATGGGAAAAACTTAACAAATATTTAGTTAATTTGTTATATTTTTTGCCAATAATGATGAATATTATTATTTTGATATTTAAATGTTCCTATACAATTACAAATCTATGGTATTAAATATTTACTATCCTAATTTACGATTTAGACATAGATTTTATATTAACTACTCCTATCGCGAAATAAAAAATGATTATAGAGGAAAAATTATAAACTTCACAAAAACAAAATAATAGACTTTTCAGTCACCTTTGTTCACGCAATTTTTAATCAGGCAGCCCAGGCAGTAAGTATCCACAGCCGTTTATAAAATGCACTGTAGAATGCACTTTGCAGTGAAATTGTCTATGCCCACGATTTCCCAGTGATTTATTCTGATAAACTTCAAGCAAACCATAAACTTGTTATTCCAAGCTCAAAAAAAAAACAGCTAAATATAATTAAATTGTGTAGATACATATTGTTTCAAAATTATGTGTGTATAGACAGCAAGGAAAAAAAACAATTAATTTGAATATTAATTTATGTAGAATAGTTATTAGGCGACAGCCGATAACGACACCACAATAACAAAGCGAAAACAGTTACAACAGTGACATTACAGTTCACACTCGACGGGGAGTTTGACACAACATAATGATAGTTTTTTAGGTGATCGATGCATTTAGGAATCCTTAATTATTTAAAATTTGAAAGTGAAACATCGATGTTTTAATTTCTAACATCGATAATCATCGACAAACGACAATCCCTAATTTAGTGTCCAATAGATCGTTGAACAGAGCACACTTTTTTAAGTTTATTATACTATACCCAACCAATTCACGACCTTATTCAAATCTACATATGGTCCAAATTCGTTTACCTGCTTCGTTAGCGGCTGCCCGAGAACAAAAGATAAGAAAAAAGGGTCGACTTGTTAACAAGTTATGAGTTTGTGTTTAAAACTGATTCATTTCATTTACTTTGTTGTGATTAAAGATTTTATATCTACTTTGTATAAATAATGGCTGCAGAAGTGGAAAAAGTAATGATTAAAGTGGAAAACATTGCACACACAATAAAGAAAACACAAGTTAACCTGAAAAAGTGCCCAAAAGCAAGATTAACACGAAATTACGTCGAATCACGCCTTAAATATTTAGAAGATTATTGGTGCGAATATAAAGAAGCTTATGACCAAATTATATGCAACATATCGAGGGAAAAAAGAGAGCAAATACCGTACATTGCGCAGGAGGAGTTTTATGACCATGAAGAAATATACATTACTTTGAAAACTGAGCTTAAAGATTTGTTATTAACCCTTGAGGTACCGTGTTAACACTACCGAAACGCTTAATAATGTACAGAAATTGCATTATTTGAAAACAAGTCTTACTGCATCTATATTAAAACATATACAAGTAACAGATTCGAACTATGAACAAGCATGGGGCATATTAAAAAGACGATATGGTAATAAACGAATAACCATTGAGTTATACAACACTAGAGGAGCAAACCACATTACCGCGCGTCGAAAAATGTGTAACCACTATCCAAACGCGACGACGTAGCTTTGAAACTAATAACAATTTTAAATAAACATATATCTATCTCACTTACACAAGTTACGTAAACAATATCGTCGCTAAAATTAGATAAAGATAGACACACAAACATGCAATGGCGGGTTGGTGTGGCTTACTATATAAAATTTTACCTAAAATACGCAATAAAAATGAGTTTTTTTTAAGCTTCAGTTAATTGTTTTTATATTAAGAAAGTATATTTTATTTTAAAATCTTTATTGCGTCCCCTTAGAAAAAAAGAATACAAAGCTTATCAGATGAGTTAGAAGTACATAATGATGAAATAAAACATATTTTTATAAATATTTTTTACTGTACTAATAAATCAAGTAATATAAAATAGGTAGTGAAATATAATTAATATAAAATTTATATGAAATTTTAATTAATATAAAATTATTAATATAAGATATAAGGTAGTAAAATATATTTAATAGATAATTCATGAATAAAATAAAATAAGAATAATTATTTTGTATAAAGGTTGAAACATAGTTTTTATTTTTAAGCAATCAATTTTACTTGTTTATTTTAAAACAAAATTAACTTATTCCATAAATTATACAGTCTCCCATTAATGTGGAAAAATCACAAAGGCGGAAAAGTGGCAACATTGAACCTAAATTGCAATATTCGATATTTTATTTAATTTTTTAGTGTTTTAAACGTTAATATGAATATATAAATTAAAACTTACGTATGGAAAGTGATTCCGCTTGATTTATTATGTTTTTGTGACCTTGAAAGGCATTCTTTCACTACGCATTTACCCATTTTTTGTTGTGAATCGTTCGGCTTAACTCGGACGGCGTCACCTTGAACACTGAACCGACGTTCGCTGAGTATAAGGCTGTGGCCTTATGTGAAGTGACAACGCTTTGGCGCGGAAATTACTTATCTAGTGTAACATATAAATCAATGCGAATAACTATCAACGCTGTCATGAAAAAACTTTTTTCACAAAAGAAGATGACCGTAAATTCTTCAAATTATATTAAGAATTTGCTAGATACTACGTTCGAATGTTTGCATCAGCTTAAAAACATGAAGGTAAATATTGAAAACTGGGATCCTATGATAATATTTGTGACTGTGCAGAAACTAGACTCTGAGACGCATAAAGACTGGGAAGAACATGTTAGCAACAATTGCCAAGATCCTGATAGTCTTCCATCACTCAATATTTTTCGTAAATTTTTAGAAAGCCGTTTCGCACGTTGGAGCTCACAGAACCGACTTAACAAAGATTGAATAATGTCATCCAATGAGAGAAGTCGTATCACATTACAACCAACGTTGAAATCTGAAAAAAATGTCAAATGTGCAACGAAAATCATACACTTAGCCATTGTAAAGTGTTCGGAAAACATTCACCACTACAACGAAGTGAATTCATTAAAACGAATAACTTGTGCTTCAATTGCCTTTCACCTGGACACTCTGTAAGGTAATGTCGTAATTGCAACATGCTGTCGGTTATGCAAAAGGCGCCATCATTCCCTTCTTCACGAAAACAAGGAAAGCAACGTAAGTGAAAGCACAACAGGCAATCTGATAAAGTACTTACAAAACAACCTGAAGTGGCTTTACATACAAACGTGGAGAATAATGAAGGAGAGAAAGAAAGCATTACAATGGTTGCACACAGTTCTAGCAAAGAAAGTACAGCATTACTTGCAACAGCAATTGTCAAGAGTAAGAAGTGAAGACAATTATATAACCACACTGCGAGCATTAATTGACCAAGGCTCCCAAGCTAGCTTCATAAGTGAACGTGCTGCACAACTACTCAAGGCTAGGAGATATCCAATTAGGGGTGCGGTCATTGGTGTTGGATCAACCAGAGAAGATTTAAAACAAGTAGTTCAGATCAACGTACAGTCGAGATGCGAAGCTTACAACCTAGAAGTCAGAACTTATGTTATGTCAAAATAACTTACAACTAAAATACCTTCCCATATAATCAAAAAGGGCAATTGGCCTCATTTAGATGGGTTAGACCTGACTGACCCAAACTACTACAAACCAGGTTCTATTGATCTGCTCCTGGGTGTTGACGTATACGCACGTATAGTGGAAAGTAAATTAATCAAGGGTCCACCAGGGTCTCTGTGCGCTCATAAAACAAACCTTGGCTGGATTTTATTCGGGAATATAGATGATAGACCACAACAAGCAGAGTCAGTACTGGTTATGCATCATCAGATCATAACAAAAGATTTTTAAAGGCAATTTGGGAAATAGATCAAGATTCAAAAAGAAAGCACACAAAAATAATAGAATTGCACAAATGTAACACATTCTACATAAATGCGAAGAAAAAAGTCCGACGTTGCCTTTTGTTTCCGTTTGGTGTCTTGTTACTGAATGTCCGCGCGCGGTTTTAGTACCTTTAGAATTATAGCGTTATGAAATATGATTCCGCATAACTGGCTCACTCACTGCTATTTATTATTTTTACGAAAAAATTAACAACCCACAACACTTATTTTCACTTTCACTATGCATTCACTTCTAATTACTGATTCTGGTTACCTTCTGTGCGCCCTCTGATGGATGATCTGATTCTCTGCATGGTACTCATCCCAATTTCCTGCTGGATCCATGTGCGGTGACAGCTCCTGTACATCCGCAGGCCCACATAAACTGCTACGAGTCCAATAATGGCCAGAACAATATAGGTCACAATGCTAAGCCGCTCCACGTGGCCTCCGATTTCTTTCAACGTGGCGTCATTGTTGCCTCCAGCCGCGTTTTGGCTGAGGTAAACCTCTTCTTTTTCCACAGTTGACCGACACATTATAATATATTATTGAGTAGTTATGTTAACTATACTAAAACTAACAATCCACTTGGCAGAGTCATCCTGGCAGGGTCGCCATTTAATGTTGGGGTTCCTAATGGGTGTTATTCAAGGAAACGACTACATTAGTTATGTACTATTTAATGAATGCGCTGGTAATAATCTAAAATAATGCATATAAGGTGTAGTGCAAACTCAGCATACATACGGTTATAAAGTACCGTACTTACTTACTAAACTAAAGGAGCATACATATAATTCTTACACTTCAAGGCGATACATTTAGAGATGGTGAGCGATGTAACATCCGATGCATTTATAGCAGCATTCAAACGTTTTGTAGCCAGAAGAGGAAGATGTAATGAAATCTGGAGCGATAACAGAAAGAACTTTGTTGCAGCCGATAAGGAATTGGTTAAAATGTGGAGAGAGGCAGGACTGGAAATGCCTGGACACATAACACATAACATGCCAACCAACCAAACAATGACACAGATCAAGTAGCAAGTGATGGCACGCAGTGGCATTTTACACCACCATACACACCACACTTTGGAGGACTCTGGGAGGCTGGTGTCAAATCAGTTAAACAGCACTTACGAAAATCACCGAAGTCAAACTTAACATTCGAAGAATTCATGACAGTGCTTACACAAATCGAAGCATGTCTGAACTCTCGGCCTTTAACACCGTTATCCACAGATGTGGACACGATCGATGACATTCAAGTACTCACTCCTGGACATTTCTTAATTGGAGAAGCACCAATCACGGTACCAGAGCGCGATTATACAATTGAGAACTACAGCACAGAATAAGTAATAGTACTACGTACAGAAGTTGCACTCCTTTGATGTCGACTGCTTACCGACGTTTAATAGCCTACATTATTATTATTAATCAGATAAATCACACACGCAAGCTAAATAAAACTTTATCGCTGCGCGCTAGTGTCCATATTACTTTGCATCTTTTTTGTCACGGCGGACTTTCCGTGGTTATTAAGGAATGTCAATAGAAAGTAAAAAAATAAATTGCGAAATGTTAATTATGTTACTTAGGTGAAGTACTAACTAATATTCTGACTATGATTGAACCATACTTTCGCCCACATGTGAGTTCTGCAATGCCTAACGCATGCAAATTGCAAGGTCATTCGTCGGGAATCGTAATGCTTGGGAGAAATAGGTAGATAGTGTATACAACAAATAAACCTGAAATACGATTTCTAACAGAAATGTGATCTATTCTATTTAGTTAAAAATCTTGTTAGTATACAAATATAGTTACAAAGATAGTGAAGTAAATTTTAACTAATTGTTGTAATGAAGTACTTAGGTATTTCTTCTGTAGACCAAATTATTACTTAATTCTTTTATGCTGTTAGTACCTATCTAACAAAAAATTAAATATATTTTTTAACCTTTCATAACTTCCTTCTAAAATTCTTCGGTAACTTAAAGAATGATATGAAGCCTTTTGTTGGTCATTTCATTTAGTATTCATCTAAGCAACAGTTATAGTCGGAACGACGTTTTGCTATTATAATTTATCAAATAGGTAATATACATAATACCTATATAATTTTTAAAATACATTAAAACTTTTACAACTATTTTTACCTACAATTAAATATACTAAACACTAAACAAAAACTATTTCAACAACTATTTACATAAAACTATTTACGTAAACAGCGGCAAAAAACTTTAACATTCGATCGCCACCAACGCGTCAGCCCTGACTGCGTTATTTCGCCCGGGCGCGTCGCGATTTTAGGTAATTATTTCACGCAGGTAGCAAGAGTGATAGAGGCCTTACTACAGTCTGTTATCCAGGTGGCAACACACTCAATGACTGGTTCAAGCGTTTTGGAAACGCTGGCAGACTGAATATTTGTCCCGACTTAATCAGCGACCTAAGTGGTTACAGAGAACACCTGAGTTTGAAGTTGGTGATGTAGTATTGCTAAAAGATGAAAATGTACCACCTAGCAAGTGGGCTCTGGCACGGATAACTGAAAAACATCCAGGACAAGACAATATAACACGCGTGTATACCGTCCGTTATAATGGTAAATTAACTCGGAGATCCATCTTCAAATTTGTGTGCATTACCAATTTCTAGTAAAGATTAATATTTTAAATTAAATTTAATAACTTTAAATTGTATTCTTTGCATTATATTCAGTAGTTAAGTATCAAATTAGTATTAGTGTGAAGTTTTTTCTTTATTTGTTTGTTCTAAGTTTTATAGCTATTTATCAACTTACGTTATTAAAATTGTAATGTTAAATTGTAAAGTTTTAAAGTAAAGTTTCTTTTAAAGTGAAGTGTTGAATAACTTCAAGTACAAACATTGTTAGTAGCATTTATTGTTTCAGTTACTAGTTAAGTTCAAATGTTTTATTAATTTGTTTATTACGAAAAGGTTTTAAGTTCCTATTGGTGCTTGACTAAATAATGTATTTGTTTATTACGCTTATATTCCTTGTATGCATTTAGTGTCCAATAGATCGTTGAACAGAGCACACGTTTTTAATTTTATTATAATATACCCAACCAATTCACGACCTTATTCAAATCAACACTAACTATAACAGTAATACACTTACTTAAATAAAAATAGTTAAATAAAACACCCACCTTTGCTCTGCACAAAATACATTCGTTTCCCAATTTTAAGGTCTAAACTGTGCTTATACTATAAAAAACATGCTTCCATTGATTTCCTACATCTTTTACCAGATCGTCACTCTATATTGTGGCGCAAACTCGAAAAACATTCATGCCGTGCAAGTCACATGACCGTATTATCCTTATCAGGTGGACTATGTGTTGGTCATCATTCTTGTTTTATAAAAAAATACTTTTCACTGTGGATGTGTCATTTTTAGCAGTGAAGCACTCACTGTGCGCAGCGCTCATTGTGCGCAGCGCTCATTGTGCGCAGCGCTCATTGTGCGCAGCACTCACTGTGTGCATCAGGCGGTGTGACGTGCAGCAGTTATGTGTGCAGCACTCACCTGTGGCGCGCCGGCGGCAGCTGCCAGGCATCCGCGTCGTCCTTGTAGCGCAGGCGCAGCACGTACGCGCGGCCTGCCTCAGGCACGAAACCGTCGGCCACCAGCAGGCGGCGCGCGGTACAAAACTCACGTGCACAGCGCTAATGTGCACAGCACTCACCTGTGGCGCGCCGGCGGCAAATGCCAGGCGTCCGCGTCGTCGTTGTAGCGCAGGCGCAGCACGTGCGCGCGGCCCGCCTCGGGCACGAAGCCGTCGGCCACCAGCAGGCGGCGCGCGGTACAAAACTCACGTGCACAGCCCTAATGTTCACAGCACTCACCTGTGGCGCGCCGGCGGCAAATGCCAGGCGTCCGCGTCGTCGTTGTAGCGCAGGCGCAGCACGTGCGCGCGGCCCGCCTCGGGCACGAAGCTGTCGGCCACCAGCAGGCGGCGCGCGGTACAACACTCACGTGCACAGCGCTAATGTGCACAGCACTCACCTGTGGCGCGCCGGCGGCAGCTGCCAGGCGTCCGCGTCGTCGTTGTAGCGCAGGCGCAGCACGTGCGCGCGGCCCGCCTCGGGCACGAAGCCGTTGGCCACCAGCAGGCGACGCGCGGTACAACACTCACGGGCACAGCGCTAATGTGCACAGCACTCACCTGTGGCGCGCCGGCGGCAAATGCCAGGCGTCCGCGTCGTCGTTGTAGCGCAGGCGCAGCACGTGCGCGCGGCCCGCCTCGGGCACGAAGCCGTCGGCCACCAGCAGGCGGCGCGCGGTACAACACTCACGTGCGCAGCCCTAATGTTCACAGCACTCACCTGTGGCGCGCCGGCGGCAGCTGCCAGCGTCCGCGTCGTCGTTGTAGCGCAGGCGCAGCACGTGCGCGCGGCCCGCCTCGGGCACGAAGCCGTCGGCCACCAGCAGGCGACGCGCGGTACAACACTCACGGGCACAGCGCTAATGTGCACAGCACTCACCTGTGGCGCGCCGGCGGCAGCTGCCAGGCGTCCGCGTCGTCGTTGTAGCGCAGGCGCAGCACGTGAGCGCGGCCCGCCTCGGGCACAAAGCCGTCGGCCACCAGCAGGCGGCGGCGCAGCGCGGCCAGCAGCGCCGCCTGCAGCGCCTCGTGCTCGCGCCGCTCCGCGTCGTGCGCCTCACGCTGCTCCACCATCTCCTCGCGCAGGCACGCGTACTTCGACAGGCACTTCTTCAACCTGATGCCACAATCACAGTATTTCAGTATGTATAATGTAATATTACTTCAATGTACCGAACCACGAGCTTTCAATTCAATCATAAAGTGAATTCACCGGTGGTGATGTAATAAAGTCCACTACCCCATATCCCCCGTGTCGGAGACGATAGACGAAAACAAACAGGAGATGGGCGACAGCACCTTCTTAATAACAATGAAAAAAAACTGCAGATGCCAACATCTGCTCAGCAGCGGAATTTTGATAGGCCAAGTAACAGTATAAAGACAATAAACGCTTGCAGTGACAACTGTCTACGTAAAGACGTCTCACTTCGCAAGCGGTAAATTTAAAAAGATAACGTTACTAAAATTTGTGTCACCGGCTGTTTCTGGGAATAAGCGAGATGTGCAATGTTTACATCATAATACTATAATTATATATTTAAATAAAGTCTTTAATTGTATAGGCCACCTACTGCTCGTCGAGAAGCTAACCAAACTGGTATATACGATAAGTTATACTCGTGGTTTCGTCTTATTTATTTGTTTATTTTTTAAGTATATTATATATTAGTACGAGTACTGTACGAGTAATCGTACTAGATTCCAGTGTGTTAACGTAAACACATTTTTATAACCGTCTGGGATCTAGTACGATTACTCGTTAGAATAGATGTCCATTCCGTTTGGTATACCTCAAGGCTCTCTTTGGGCCATTGCTATTTATCATTTTTATTAATGACATTGGTTTATGTTTTGAACATGAATTGAACATTGCGATTTTGAATAATTTTGTGCAGTATTGTATTCCACACAAGCTTAAATATATATATATATATATATATATATATATATATATATATATATATATATAATTTAAGCTTGTGTGGAATTGTTGTGGAAAGTGATCTATGGTACTAAAGCCTTTTCGGAAGCCGGTTTGTTCGGGAGGCTGGAAGTCATTGAATCTCGTGCGAGACGATTCGTAATGACTCACAAAAATAACACGTAGACGTGGCTTAGAAGGGGCCTGTAGTTCTTCCAGAGGGCGTTGTCTTCTTTCTTGAAAAATAAGACTACCACACTTCTGCTCCACATTTCCGGAGTAGTCCCACCATAGAGGACGGAATTAAAGAGCTTCTGAAGGATTTCAAGTACCTGTTTTCAACCCGCTTAGAAGCTTTGCTGTAATTCCAGCTTTGCCTGGGGGCCTTGCCGTTTATAAGGTGCTGGAGAGCCATTCTATCAATCTCGCTTAGACTGAGGGATATCATCGGCGTGGTGTCGGATAAGACTCACTTTTAAATCGTTACTTACACTTGCGTGTGGCTCCAACGATGACATGTACAGTCTCTCAATCTCATTCAAAATCTCAGGTGTCCCGAAAACGATGCTGCCACACTTGGTCTTCAGCTTCGACACTTGGCTCTTTCTGGTAGACAGATCTCTTGCAAAGACGTTGGAGCCCTGGTTCCGCTCGATCGCTTCATCAATACGAGCTGTATTGAATTTGCGTAAGTCCCACCGCATGCATTTGGAGATGACTATTCAGTTGCCTGTATGCTGTCAAATCTGCTGAAGACTGTATCTTTATTCCCCGTCTATAAGCCATGACATTAAGAATGTAATTGGAGAGTTTTTGTGTTCTTCTGCGACGGGTCTTACGAAACTTAGCTCCGACCACATGGACAGTTTCCACGAGCTTGTCATTCATATCGTCCACTTTATTGCAGTCTTCTAGGCACTGCAACGGTTTTGTAACTCAGCTGAAAGTTTTCGGGACTCTGGATTAGACGTAGAGGCACGAGGGGGGACGGTGCGTTGACTTCAATAGACGAAACCTCTCCAACTTAAACGTTTAGGTTCAGTGTGCCTGTAACCATTCGGTGATCGCTGCCAGTTTTCACCCTCGCCATCACTGAGACATCACTGAACAGTTGCCGTCTATTTATCATAATGAACTCAATCTAATTTTTGTCGAACGGTCGGAGCTCGACCAGGTCCACTTCCTGTGGGCCCGCTTCTGGGAGTTCATGATAAAGAGTCCCTCTTTCTCCATGAAATCTGCCAGCTGCTGGCCCCTTTGGTTCCGTTGCCCTATTCCAAATCTCCCCACCTTTAGCTCACCGTTCTCTATTGTACCTAGTTTTGCGTTGAAGTCTCCCACTAACACCGTATAGTGGGTTTTGGTGGAATGCATATCGTTAGAGTTATCCACATACATTTCCAACGGCTGTTTGGTGATTCTGAGTATAAGGTACGCAACCCACGTTAATACACTCACAATCTTTACAGCGTTGTTAACGAGCGACTTGTTGTCGATAAATACCCTCTCGGTGATAGAACAAGTTGCCGGATTCGAAAATTACCATGTCTTCCCCCTCTCTTAGAATCCCAGATATTCCTATATTACCTCAGCGCAATGTGTTTACCTCTTCTTCCAGCTCCAAGATCTTCTCGACAGTCCTCAGGGTGTGTGCGTTATATATTGTCGAGTAGTCGTAGGTGGTAACCGAAACTCCACACGAGATTCCGAGCACCCCCTTCTTTGCCGTTACTATGGTCGCCACAGTAGTCAGGAATAGCGGGGCCGCTGGGGACTGGGAGCCGTCTCTTCGAAACTCTCATCATGGGGTGATGTTTGCCACAGTTGCCACGCTTAGCGTAGAGTTGGCAACCGCAGTTTTTTATTGTGTTATTGTTGTTATCAGAAAGATGCTTCTGCCCACCGTGTGCCTGCTTCCCTCCGTCGCCTCCTACGACACCCACGGGAAGATATGCAGCGGTATACGCGATATATTAACACTAAGCCTAACTAAGACTATCGTAATTCTTATCTTACTCTAAAATATTGAGCTAAAGAACAGGTAATCTACGTCCACACTTACGCTTGAACTATGATGGTCTCCGTTGCAATATCGGTAATGCCGGGATGCATAGCTAGATAAAAAAATGGATTAATTTGGTGGCGTGAAAAATAAAACAATAGTTCTAACCTTTGCGTTTTATGGTCAACTTCTTGCTGCAGCGTTGCGAAGGTGTTGGTGACTATGGCAGTGGTTTCTTCCTCTAAATCTATTTTTTGTTGCATTTCAACTTCTCTTTTTTTTCGTTCGGCGATTTCCATATTTCTCTGTTCCAGGATTATTTGAGTTTCATTAAGATTATTGAGCAGATCCTTGCCGCCACCACCTTGAACGAGCCGATCTTCCAAAGACTTTATTAGCTGTTCTAATTCTTCAGTCTTACATTTCTCTTGTTCTATTGTGGATTCTGCTAGAATATGTTCATGTTCAATGCTAACTGTGTCTTCTTCGGCTGGAAATGTACACATATTCCAATAAAATGTAGTTTCTTTTAAATTCTTATGATAAATATATTAATTATTCGCACATAGCTTAGCTTGTGCAACTTTCTGAGGTAATGTTTAGAACCCATTAAAACTACTTTTGGGCTAAGGATCTAGATTTAATTTCTTTCAGCTTTTCTACCTACTAAATGGAACTCATATTCACAAAAAAGTGACCTTGAAAATATATCTAATTACCAATCAATCTCTATTTTATCGTAAATTGGTGAATTATTAGAAATTATCCAGAAATTCCTATGTCACCTAAATCACTGTGTTATGCCACAGCAACATAGATTTCTAAGTGGATGGTCAACGACATAAAATCTTAATTATTTTGGAAGTGACATTTCAAAATTTTTACAAACGCACATGAGCTTCATGCCATTAACACTGATTTTTCGAAGCATTTGATTTAGTTGACCACGGATTACTAATAGTTTATATTTTTGGATTACAGAGTTTCTACTCGGCCAAGCAAAATTTGCAATTCACCAATGCAGTGGTGTAAATCGTGGTTATAAATACCTTACAAAATCAGAGCCATCAGGTTTACCCCAAGGCTCTCCTTTCGGACCTCTAGTTTTAAGAACGTAATGATTTAGGCGTTAAAATTATGTCAAAGTTCAAATGTTCGCAAATGATCTTAAAATTTAAATGGAAATTTACCTTAGCCAGGCTGTAACGCAACTACAACGGGGCCTTAATACGATTAACGACTGGTGTATAAACAATCAAAAGGTGCTTAATATAGCAAAGTGCGTTTATTTAAACATTTCTCTTTTATATCAAATATAACAGAAGTCTGTAGTATGCGTGACTTGGGTGTAATTGTTGAAACCAAACTTGACGTCAGAGATCACATTGGCTATAAAGCTAAAAAATCATCACGTCTTAGAGGTTTTGTATGTATACAAGCACAATTCTTTAATGAGCCTATTGTTCTTTTTAATTCCTGCGTGCCTTGCCTTATAAAATATAGCAGCCAAATCGTATCGAGTGTATATACATAGATACGTCTGGAAAGATTACAAAAGGAAATATTGTATCATCTTTCATTTACAAAAAAAATTGACATCGACCAGACTTTTATGAATCTAGACTTTCACACTTCAAGCTGTCTTCATTTGAACACAGGTGTATTGAAAGTAAATTGATTTAAAGACTTTTGATATTTATAATTTTGAAAAGTGGTAACACTTAGGTAGTTCAATTTTATGCCAAAATCAAAATTAAAAATGATCAACATCAGTACGTACAGTTATCCGGTTGCTGTGGTTGCTGTTGTTTGGGCCGCGGTGCTTTCTTAGGCCGTTTGTCAGCAGCGCGACGCTGTTCTATCAACGCTCTTAACCGCTCGATCTCCGCCTGGTACTCACGCAGTTTCGCATCTTTCGGATCCTCGTTTCGAACTGGTTTATTTTTGATAGCTGGAAATATCAATATCAGAATTTGATGTAAGCCATAGTCATACAAAACAAAGTGTCTTGTAATTGTAACATGGTAATTTCGTTACATAAAATTGGCGGTATTTCATCCTCGTGTCTCGGAAAACACATAAAGCTGTTGGTCTCGCGCCTGATCTCCCGCCGGTCATGTCGGATAACCATCTCATCGGACTATGAGAGCGAGAGAATAGGGAGTGCACCTGTGTCTGCGCATACACATGAGCACTATAATCCTGTCCCGTGCAGATGGTTAGTCTCCGTCGAGACTGGCCGCTGCGACCAACATTTGGTCTGGAGGACACATTATTATTATTAACATTCAAATAAATCACCTTTGGCGCGGTGTGCATATCGCAACGTAGTGATAGTTTCGTCGTAATTGTAGGCAGCGGGTCCGATGTTGGCGATCATTATAGTCTTGCTGTTGCCGCCCAACGAATCCTGTAGGATCCGCGTCAGCTTCGAATCTCTGTGGACCAATCATATAACACGACGCCTTTTATAGATGAGCAGAAAGCAGAAGCTACTTGCTAACACAAGCTATTGCATCTTACAAGTGGTCAATTCATATTTTTGAAACAGCAAAAAAAACTCATATCCCATATTGCCGTAGATGTTCATGGTAAGTATATAGTGACACTTCTTATATTTTAAATTTTAGTAGGAAATTAAAGGAGGAATTTTAGAATTTTATTCAAGCCTGATTTGAAATAGTTACTGATAAGGTGCGTCCAAACATACGTTTGATATGATATACATATATAAATACGCATCAAAATAGTATTAAACACTATACTAAATATCGCAAGCGTACAAAAACTGTTGAACATACCTCATCCTTCCCCTTCGTCGCAAAACCAAACGCGCATTGTTAAATTGTTTGATATTTTAGCACGTTCTAGTAAAAATTAAATTAACATGTTTATGTTTTATAACTTTGACGACGTGTAGTTTTTGTCATGTTTAGGAAACCTGTGTAGAATAATTAGTAATAACACTATCGCCTTGGCGATAATGATAATTAACATTATTTTGGTAAAGATTAGCTATTCTATGTATGGTTTCGTCACATTGGCTTAAGTCAGATATACTACAAGCAATTGTTTTGGGTCTGGATGTTTGCGCTTGTGTAAACTGACCCCGCGATACAGGAAAAAATCCTTTCAATAAGATGTGATTGTTTTTGGTCCCAGAGATCAAACGTTTTGTTGATAAATTAAGGAAACGTTTGTTATTTGCACGAAAGCGTATTTTGTTAAATTTCATAACGTCAAACGGTCGGTGACTTCTTAAAATATTATCCGCTTATCATAGGTGACTTACAGCCAAGAGGGGCTTGGCTACAACGAGGTTGCATTCTGTAGCCCCTCGTCTGTCCAAACGCCATATTCTGGCGTCTCAAATAATATGCGCATCTGTCAAACGCCATAATATAGCGTCGAGTGATAGCAAACTATTTGTAACATATATATGATATATATATAAAACATATATATCTGTTATGTATAATCTGATTGCTTATTTAATAACGTTTCCATTAATATATGATTTTACAATACAATACAATAACTTTATTTCAGGCATCAAGGACTTAAAAATTAAGAACATTGGCCCATAGCAATATATACCTTAACCTAAAAATATATATAAAATATAAATATAACACTATTTAGGGAACTTTCTTCTTTGGCGAGTTCCCTGTATCGGCGATACACTACCCCAGAGGGCCAGACATCGGGAGCAAAGAATGTCTCTTTGTATTTTGCAGGAACCTGGAGTACGTAGGATTTGAAGTTCGTGGACCTCTTAGACTCTAGACGGTGCAAATGTAAAGAGATCGGATCCTCTATGCGGCATCGGCTTCGTTCTTCCACGAAACGCAGGACGTCTTCTCCCGACGTACTTTTGTCCAAACGGGAGATGTAGAGCTGTATGGTGGGCTCCACAATACGCAGAGTTGTACTTGCGTTTATTTTGGCGGCCCCACGAATTTTAATATACTTACTTAGTATATATATTATATACTTAGTATACTTGTTATATACTTACTTAGTACTTCGGAAAGTGCTCGACAGATGCGCCATATTGGCCAAAATGACCCCGACATTCGAGTGGGTAGGCTGCTGCCGTGTTTGGCACTATAGGTCTGCCAATTGGGATAGGATGCGATCTTTTTTGCATCCTACCCTTGGGTGCGGGTTTGTTTTTCGCCTGACAATGCAACGTTGTTGCTGATCCTGTCGCTGATGTGGTACTTCAGGGCATGAACGTTTTTATTCAATCTTCCGTGTTGGTGGGACGCAGATCCCAGTCATGGTTTGGTCACCACTGCAAAATGGCATCACGCTACAAGCAGGAGTGCTGCCGGGCCTGGGCTGATGCATCAGCGCCCCGGGATGTAAACAACAACGCCCTTAAAAATAAGTACAATTCCGCCTCCAGGTTCTTCAAAAGAGTCATTGCCAAGGCAAGATCAGCATATCGGCAGAATTGGCGAAAAACTAGTTCGCCTTCCTTCAGGAATCCATGCATTCTTATCTCTCACACCGGCTGTCCAAGGGAATTTCTGTAGCTATCACTTCCATCTCTGCACAGGACGACCCACAGACCCACGCCGCAAAAGAGAAACCCGATCTTTTAGGTTCCCTTTTTGCGTCCAACTCTACTTTCGATGATCTTGAGTGCTCTATGCCTGATGTGCGATTCACACAGTGCTCAGTATGCAAAGCACTCCTTTCCTTGGATATTCGTAAGTCGAGTGGGTCTGACGGAATCCCCTCAATTATCCTGAGACATGTGCTCCAGAGTTGGCACCGGATCTAACGCGTCTTTTCCGCTACTCCTAATCTCTAGTAGTACTAGGCGTAGTCCCAATTTCGTGGCAGACAGCTTTCGTGCATCCGATCCCTAAAAAAGATAACCACTCTGATCCATACATTTACAGGCCTATCGCCATCACCTCCTTGGTCTCGAAAATAATGGAGTCCATCATTAACTGCCAGCTCATGTGGTATCTTCAGGATCAGCTGATTAGTGACCGCTAGTACGATTTCCGTCGAGGCAGCTCAGCTGGTGATCTTCTTGTTTACCTTATACACCGATGGGCGCAGGCGGTCGAGTCCAAGGTGGAGGTCTTGGCGGTTAGTTTGGACATAGCGAAGGCCTTAGATCGGATCTGGCACAGAGCGCTTCTTTCGAAGCTTCCATCTTATGGGCTTCCTGAGAAATTGTGCAATTGGATCACCAGTTTTCTCGCTGATTGAAGCATCAAGGTTGTAGTAGACGGTGCATGCTCCGATTATAATCCTATCAATGCTGGTGTTTTTCAAGGATGTGTGCTATCACCTACGCTTTTCCTTCTGCATATCAATGATATGTTGCAAATCAGTAGCATTCATTGCTATGCAGACGACAGCACAGGTGATGCTTTTTACACCGGCCGTGCCAATATTTCTTTTTACATCGGCCGTGCCAATATTTCTTTTTACACCGGCCGTGCCAATATTTCTCGAGATTACGTCATCGAGTACCGGAACAAACTTGTGGCTCAAGTCGAGTCATTATTAAACAAAGCCTCGGAATGAGGACGACTAAATTTAGTCCAGTTTAACCCTCAGAAGATACATCGTCGTTTGTTGTATCAATTTCAGGGCACTTCCCTTGCTGCCTTAGCTAGCTTCGGAATACTCGACATATCGAATGATGTGCAGTTTCGTGGTCACTTGGAAGGGAAGCCCAAATTGGCCTCTACAGTATTTCATGCCGGCACATTATTTGCAACTTTGCAAGGCGCAAGTTTGCCCTCACATTGTTCTGTTCTCACTTCTGGGCCAGGGCACCCCGGTGCCAGTTCCTTCCACTTGACCGCATCGTCGACGACCGAGTTATTTCTGGTCAGCTCGATTCACTGGCATTGCAAAAGGAAGGCTGCGTTTTAATAGGAGTTTTATTCCTCGCAGAACCTCTTCGTGGAATTGTTTGAATTGAACCACCGGCGTTTTTCCGGACTGATACGACTTAGGGACCTACAAGAAAAGAGCATAATCCTTTCTAATAGGTCGGCAACGCACTTGCCTGGTGTTGAAGTTGTTTATACGCGGCAGTAGTTACTTACCATCAGGTTAGTCGCAGGCTCGTTTGCCCCTTACACATACTATAATAAACCTTTCTACCAATACAAGAAGATACTAAAAGCTGTATTGATCCAAATGAAACAGTTTATGTAGTTGGTTGTAGTACCGTGACCGTGATATAGTTTGTTTAACCGTAAAGTGACGGTGATAGAATATCCACACACCATCATATCGTCCCGTGGGAGTCGTAACAGGCGAAAGAGGACAATTGGAACATATGATGGTCAGCAGTGCCTTACTGACAACAGCTCAAAATAATAAATAATTGCGTTTGCTGATCCGCCCGCCAAGCGTGGCAACTATGGCAAAATCCCCTCTACTAGGCTGGCTACATATATATATACTAGGCTGTAATAAAATATATAGATATTATAGTTTGTTACCTGTAAGGAACATGCGGACTGTTTTCTGCGAGTGCGGAGATGACATTGCCGAGGGAGGAGAGAGCTTGGTTGATGCGTGAGGCTTCACGCAGTCGATCTGCCGACGCACCAGTCTTACGCTGTCGTTCGCTGCCTGCCAAGTCCACCAGATTCAGCTTGCCCACCCTGTAAACGGCATTAAGTTCGGTTTAAAGAATTTTATTTATCGTAAGAACATACAATAGTTCACTCATAATAATATACAAAGTAATTATCTATATATTACATATAAGCAAAAAAACCACTGACTCAATCACTCATCACAAGATCTCCAAAACTATATACCCAAATGAAATTTGACATATATATACCTTTTTTCGAAGTAGACACTCACTAAGAAAGGGTTTTGGAAAACTCAACCCCTGTGGGGGTGAAATAGGGTGTTGCTGCTTGTGTTATGATATTATCACATCTACCTCTAGTGTTGGAAGAGATAACAGCCATAGATAATTTACTTATACATATTAGGTAGGTTACCCAGGATAAAGAAATTACACTGTAAGTACGTATTTTTTCAGTTTAGTCAATAGTAATAATTAATAGTTTAGTCAATTTTAGTTTAGTTTAGTTACATGTTGCTGGCCAAACAAGCCGATTTCGATTACTACCGGCATTGAAATTGTCAATTACAATTTCTAGTTCTGATTTCCCACGTGTTCGGCGACGAGAAAAAACATCTTAGAAATTAAAATATTTTGATGACATGAGAAATCCACCATGACGTTAGGGAAGTGCAGCGCTCTTTCTCCATGTCACTCTCTGAACTGCTAAAAGACTTGTGCACAGCGGTAGGACGTACATATTTGTTTTAATTTTTGTCCAAATTTACCTCTTGATTTAGAAACAAAGACATTAAAGTAGTAATAGTAAATGTTATACATAATGGTGTATATATATATATATATATATATATATATATATATATATATATATATATATATATATATATATATATATATAACTCTTTGTTTAGAACTAAATTTTGTAATACTCAACGCCGCTACCCATATTTTTTTACGTTAAACAAAAGTTTTATTATTTAGGCGTCAAAATCTTCACCGATTCAGAAAATAAACAACTTCGAAAAGAACCTCCTGACTTTATTTTAATACAACTTATTTATTATATTATTTATAGTACTCTATTATAATGCCCTGTTAGAAGGTCATTTACAACTTAGAATAATCAGTACAATGTCAAAAGCTTATGAGGTTCCACCTTAGTCCTCTGGGAAAATTTAAAATACAGATGTGTTGCGTCACAACACCATGTGTATTTTAAATTTTAATCGAGCATGTCTATGTGTCACAGCATCCCTTCCCTCGGCTGTACTCGTTTGTCAGCCTTATTCTACAAAAATGCATTCAAAGATTAAAAAAAGTTAAAGTTAAAGTTACAGCCTATATACGTCCCACTCCTACTCTCATTTCTGAGAGGGTTTTAGAGCAAGGTAGTGTGCGCCGCGCTGCCCCAGTGCGTGTTGGCGAACTTCACATAAAAAATTTCTGAGACATGCTGGTTAGCTCACGATGTTTTTCTTCACCGCCGAGCACGTGGTAAAACAGCACTTAAAATTGCAATTAACAATTTCATTGGTGCCGGCGGGAATCGAACCCGGTTTGCTCGCGTATTGTGAAATTTACAGCGAGCGCTAACCATCTGAGCTACCACGGCTCTTACTTAGATTTACTTGTAAATATTTGAATATTTACTAGTAAGTTGCACAATAATCTCAGTGATTTTATGATGAATGCATTCACTTAGAAAATATTTTCCAGTTCTTATCAATCAAAATTTAGAAATTTCTAGCGTGGCGTGTAAATAATGCCTAAAATATTTATATTGTTTTGCGGAACGTAGTAAAATTTGTAGTAATCATTGTAGAATTACCATTCACGTGAATAGAAACCAGTGTGTCAGGCTCGCGTCACTGACCAGCGCATGTTTTTAGAACATACGCGCTATTTGTTGAGGAACAAGTTTTGCTACTTTATATCCGGTCATGAAATCTTACATAACATTTGCAACTCGTTAATGTACTGGTGGTTGCACATTAGCAGAACCACTGTCAGATGCTGCAAAGTGTTTGGTATATGGTTATGGAACACCAATAATCATAATTGCCCTCAATAATGTTCTTTTTAACTGCGTGCCTTTAAGATTAGAGAATACTAGGGCTGATATATCCATTCGGGATAAAAGCCTTTAACTAAATAAACAGAAATAAAATTAATATTTTAAACTAACATCATTTATCTTGTGGAATCTTCGAAAATAAGTTGTGCAATGTAACCGATATACGCTTAGAATTTCGTCTTTTTACAAGATTTTTATCATAACACTGAAGTGACATAAGAAACTTTTGTTTGACGACTCCGTGGCGCAGTGGCTGAGCAATGAGTGGCTGCGCTGGGGGTCGCGGGTTCGAATCCCGCACGGAAAAAGTATTTGTATGGCCTACAAATAGTTGTTCCGGGTCTGGATGTTTGTCCTTGTGCAATTTATGTTTGTAAAAAAAAATTAGTGTAGGGGTAACGTCTTTAAAAAAAATAAAAAAAAAACTACAGTCCAGCTGTACTCACATATTTGCCGGACACTATACGTATATGAAACAAAAACCCTGTGGTTCCCGTTCAGTAAACTATGTATAATACAAGCTTGCCTGGCAGACGTTGTTCTGCCCTTTTCGACGACCCTTTGTCATGTACTATAAAATCCTTAAATTCGCAAAAAAAAAATTGTGGTGCACTCATGGGCACAAAAACTATCCCATGTCTCAAGTTGGACCAAACTTTTTTTTTTTAAAAGTACAAACAGACTCCCCTCTCTCCTCCAAAAACAAATCAGATGCACACCACCCTCCCCCCCCAAAACTCATGGCTCTACCACGTATAAACTATACACGGTGTGCAAATTTTATTAAAATCGGTTAGGTAGTTTAGGAGTCCATCGCGGACAAATAACGTTACACGTAATTTATATATATTAAGATATTTTCAAACATACTTATAGAAATAATTTTACTTCAGAAAATTCGACCATAAAAAATAATTTAGTTTAAGCGTATTTTATGTGGTGTTATTAGGTACCTCTAAGCAAGCCTCTAGTGGTTATATAGTCTTTGCCTCTAACAGACACGCGCATCGGTAAAGCGGGGTCTTTTTTTTCTCCCCGGCCCATGCAGAGGTAATAAAAGCACATACAATTTGCAAATAAAAGTGTCATCATCATCATCATCATCACAGCCCTTCACAAGTCCACTGCTGAACATAGGCCTCCCCCAAGTAACGCCACAAAGCACGGTCCTGAGCCACCTGCATCCATCGACCTTCTGCATGTCTTACCAGGTCGTCACTCCATCTAGTGGGGGGTCGCCCTACACTACGCCTACCGGTACGAGGCTGCCACTCGAGAACCTTTCTTCCCCATCGGTTATCGGTTCTTCGAGCTATATGGCCGGCCCATTGCCACTTCAGCTTACTAATCCGTTGGGCTATGTCGGTCACTCTGGTTTTACTGCGGATATCCTCATTTCTGAGTCTATCACGCAGAGAAACTCCGAGCATAGTCCTCTCCATAGCTCGCTGAGCGACCTTGAGCGTCCTCATACGGCCAGCAGTGAAGGACCACGTCTCTGATCCGTAAGTCATCACTGGCAACACGCACTGGTTGTACAATTTAGTTTTCAGAGATTGAGGTATACCTGACGAGAAGATGTGTCGTAATTTCCCGAACGCTGCCCAGCCGAGTTGAATCCGTCGATTGACCTCTCGGTCGAAGTTGGACTTAACTAGTCGGACTATTTGTCCCAGGTAAACGTACTCGTCAACAACTTCGAGCATAGTGCTCCCCACAACTATAAACGTGTACAATAAAAGTGTATTTAAATTTAATTTTTTTGGTCGAGTTTTCCGAGGTTATTTTATAAACCGACTTTAAAAAAAGGTGGAGTTACTCAATTCTACTACGTTTTTTGTAATGTGTGTTTTCTCAGAACTTTTTTTTAGGCGTACCGATTTTGATAATTCTTTTTTTATTTGAAAGTTGATGCTTCTCACGCGGTCCTATATAAATTTGATCAATATGTGATCAGTAATGTTTGAGTTATCCGTAATAATGCGTATATTGACTTCGACTACATTGATGATGTTTTAATTTTTTTTTATATTCAAATCGGTTTTACAGAATTTTTAATTTCACCACTTGTTATTTGTCCGAATACTGGTTGTGATAACGCAAATAACGGGAATCACATAGTCTTATGTTAGATATTGTATACATAAAATAAAAACGCAGGCATGCTATTATAATTGCCATCTCATAAGTATAGGATAGAAAAATAAAAAAAATATACGTCAAATATTTGGTGAACTTCCTGCTGTTTTACTTGGCATTTCAAGTACACTCTTATAATAGTTGACCTGATTGCATAGAGTGAAAACATGTAAAGTGGACTTATTTTGAGGAAATCAGGCGTCTCGCGTGAGTAATTAACAATACTATATTATAACTACGTTATAATATTAACGGATTATTTCCGTATACGTTTTCCGCTTTTATTTTTGACAAAAATGAACTACACTAACTAGTATCACGATTTATATTTGTTAACAACTAACAAAATTGTTCATTTCCTGTTTCACATTAAATGTATGGTTTTGTTGTTGTCAATTAAGTGAACTAAACGCGATTAAATTCGTAAAACATTTTTTAATATACAAAGTTTTTGTTTCATATTTTTACATTGTCATCCAATTCTCAGCTGCGTTCAAAATTTCACGTTTCTAGCTCGTCGAGAAGTTACTAAAATCAATTACTGAATTCAACCCGAATACACGAAAGCGAGTTGATAAAACCGTGGCAAAAACTTGTTTCATTCAAAGCCGCGTGGCGAGCTATGTAGAAGAATATATCTGGGGTTTCCATACGTGATAAAACCTGTAACGAAAATAATCCGCAGTAGAGTCTGTAGGACTGGAGTGATTGACCAATAGCGCGAAGGAACGTGGTAGAGCCACGCTGCAGCAGAAGGAGCACGATGTCACAGAATGCCTTGATTACCAGAATACTTAGATTAGACTTGTGTGACTCCCATTATCACTATTGTATAAGAAATGCAACCTATT